CCTTTCCTCCCCTCCCCTCCCCTCCCTTCCCATTCCTTCTTTTTGAAACTAGGTCTGTCTCTGTCACCCAAGCTACAGTGCAGTGGCTTGATCTTGACTTACTGTAACTTCTGCCTCCCAGGTTCAATTGATCCTTCCACCTCAGCCTCTTGAGTAGCTGGAACTGCAAGCATGTGGCTATTTTTTTTCCTCCTTTTAGTAAAGATAGGGTTTCACCATTTGCCCAGGCTGATCTTGAACTCCTGAGCTCAAGCCATCCTCCCACCTCAGCCTCCCAAAGTGTTGGAATTACAGGTGTGAGCCACTGTGCCTGGCTTGAGGTTGTATCTTCCATGGCTTAGAGAGTACACTGTAGCCTTTCCCTCTTCTACTAAGGATACTAATTCCATCATGGGGCGCCATCCTTATGATCTTATCTACACCTACACTCCTAAGGCCTCACCTCCTAAGACCATTTCATTAGGGGTTAGGGTTTTAACATACGAATTCTGGGAGGACACAAACATGCAGTCCATAAACTCAAATTGCTGCAGCTTTGGCCATTGGGAACTCTTTCAGTTGGCTCCTATGTCCCTTTATATACTCTCATTTTTCTTTTTCAGCACTTTCTTTTCTTTTTTTTTTTATTTTTTGAAATGAAGTCTCGCTGTGTCACCCAGGCTTGAGTGCTGTGGTGCGATCTGGGTTCACTGCAACCTCTGCCTCCTGGGTTCAAGTGATTCTTCTGCCTCAGCCTCCCAAATAGGTGGGATTGCAGGCGCCGGCCACCATGCCCAGCTAATTTTTGTATTTTTTGTAGAAACGGTGATTCACCATGTTGGCCAGGCTGGTTTCGAACTCCTGACCTCAAGTGATCCGCCTTCCTTGGCCTTCCAAAGTGCTGGGATTACAGGCATGAGCCACCACGCCTGACCAGCATTTTCTTACTTTCTGGGACTATTTCTATATTTCCTGCTGATAGATCTCTTTTAATCGGTGCCCATCCCTCCCTCTTCTCCTTTTTGCCATTTATGTGTTATAGGCAGTCATTGTCCTGTAGAATTTCCCACGATATATGTTTAGCTGGTACTTTGTGGTATCACTTAACATATTACCCTCTTTATTTTCTATATACTCATAGTTAGGCTTATCAGATTATCAGATTCAGATTCATTTTTTGATACATATATTCTGATTTTCTGATATATATTCAATGTATATGTATTGGAATTGCTTTGTACTTACTATTTTGTTATATCAACATATGAGGCCTGCTTTTCCCTTTTTTCTTGATGTTAGGACTGATCACTAGATTCATTATGCATTCTTTATAAAGCTTCCTAATAGCTTTTCACCAAAATGTTTTAGCAGACTTGATGATTATTACCTGGTTGCATTATTTCATTAGTGGTTTAATAATGTTGATATTCGATCATTTTTCCTATATTATTCTTTTTTTTTGAGATGGAGTTTTTGCTCTTGTTGTCCAGGCTGGAGTGCAATGGCGCGATCTTGGCTCACTGCAACTACCAGGTTTAGGCAATTCTCCTTCCTCAGCCTGCCGAGTAGCTGGGATTACAGGCACACGCCACCATGCCCAGCTAATTTTTGTATTTTTAGTAGAGACGGGGTTTCACCGTGTTGGCCAGGATGGTCTTGATCTCATGATCTCGTGATCAGCCTGCCTCGGCCTCCCAAAGTGTTAGGACTGAGCACTTTGGTGTGAGCCACTGCACCCAGCCCCACCATCTTCTATAAAGACCTTTTCTTTGTCACTATTTAGATACCCTGAAATATAGCTTATACAGGACAGACAGGATAACTGCTTTATTCTTTTTTGTTTACCTGTTGCCAGAATAATTAGGAGTTGTTGCCCTAGCACTCTACAGAGGTACCCAGTATGTTTTTTCTTTGTTAGAATTATTATGAACTTGGTAGTTTTGACATATTTAATGTATTCCAATCAATTATAGTCACTGAGTTACTATTCCTTCTGATGCTGAAGTTGTCCTTTTTTTTTTTTTGGACAAGGTCTTGGTCTGTCATCCAGGCTGGGGTAGTGGATTTATCTCGGCTCACTGTAGCCTTGAGCTCCCAGGCTCAAGCATTCCTGTCATAGTCCCTCTGAATAGCTGGGACTACAGGGATGCACCACCGTGCCCAGATAATTTTTTTTTTTTTTTTTAGATGGAAGTTTCGCTCTTGTTGCCCAGGCTAGAATGCAATGGCACGATCGCAGCTCACTGCAACCTTTTCCTCCTGGGTTCAAGCAATTCTCCTGCCTCAGCCTCCTGAGTGGCTGGGATTACAGGCGTGTACCACCATGTCTAGCTAATTTTTGTATTTTTAGTAGAGATGGGGTGTCACCGTGTTGGCCAGGCTGGTCTCAAATTCCTGACCTCAGGTGATCCACCTGCCTTGGCCTCCGAAAGTGCTGGGATTACAGGCATAAGCCACTGTGCCCAGCTGAGTTGTCCAGTTTTTGAGGACAGCTAGGAGCTTCTTCACATTACTGCCTGTGGCCTTTTGGCATGATCCCAGTAGCCTTTAGTAGATTTTTGCTCTCTATTATGCAAAGATGTTTTGTACTTTTTTGGCTCCAGTCTTGAAATTAATCATTTTTTCTAATGAGCCCTAGTTCTTTTAGTGTGAAATGGTGTTTAC